ACAAATTAAAGGGGCCCAAGTCCACTTCTGAATGAATGTATCATTAGTTAAATTATAAGAACTATTTAATCATACCCCCATCTTTAATAATGAGATCTCACTTTTACCGCATCTTCCTAATGATGTTCAATATTTTATTTTACTCAACCATTTTGTTGTTTAACCCCTTCGCGACTGAGGATGGTTCAGGACCGTCATCGGCATTTTTGCATTGCCGACCGATGACGGTCCTGAACCGTCCTAACGGTCTCCGTTACTTACCTGATCGCCCTCGTTCCCCCGGCGGCGATCAGCGTTGGGCCTGCAGCCCAGACAGTCTCCCCACACTGAATTAGGACCCCTGTGGCCATGTGATCACTCAACACAGCGATCACATGGTCACAATAGGTGTCCATGTGTCTGCCTGCAGGGGGACTGCCTGTGCTGACAGGCAGTCTCCCTGCTAGTGTAAAATAAAAATAAAAAATAAAGTTAATGTTAATAAAAAAAATAAATTATATATGTGTATACATATATGATATATAGACATATATTATATCAATATAATATATGTCTATATATCATATATATATAATGCCATACTAAGTGTATTTTTATATTAATATGTACTTATATTAATATAAAAATACACTTATAATTAAATTACACACGTATATATATAATATATATATAATAACTATATATATTGTATATATATATTATTATAAAATATAAATAATAAGTAATTTAAATTAAATAACTTTTTTTAAATAATAATAAAAATTAAAAAAAATATATCTATATGAAATTTTATTCTAACTGTATTTTAAAATTAATATATATATATTTATATCAAAATACACTTAGAATGAATTTGTATATATATCTATGTATATAAAAATAAATAAAAATAATAACAAATATACATATGTCCATATACAAAATTACATAAATAATTATATAAATATACACGTAGACTTCAAATATATAAATATGCATATATATTTAAATTCTACGTGCGTATTTATGTAATATTTTTACATAATTCAGTAATTTTATTGATTGCAATTTGAGGGACCTGCCTGCCAACCCAGGCCGAAATTCCAGAGAATTGAATTTGCTAGCACTGTATTTTACCCTGTAACGTTCTACGACACCCTAAAACCTGTACATGGGGGGTACTGTTTTACTCGGGAGACTTCGCTGAACACAAATATTAGTGATTCAAAACAGTAAAACATATCACAGCGATGATATTGTCAGTGAAAGTGACTTTTTTTGCATTTTTCACACACAAATAGCACTTTTACTGATTGATATAATTTGTGTTCAGCGAAGTCTCCTGAGTAAAACAGTACCCCCCATTACAGGTTTTATTGCATTTTTGAAAGTTACAAGGTCAAATATATGGGTCAAATATTTTTACATTGAAAATGGCCAGGTTGGTTACGTTGCCTTTGAGTGCGTATGGTAGCCCAGGAATGAGAATTACCCCCATGATGGCATACCATTTGCAAAAGAAGACAACCCAAGGTATTGCAAATGGGGTATGTCCAGTCTTTTTTAGTAACCACTTGGTCACAAACACTGGCCAAAATTAGCGTTCAATTTAGTTTTTTTACTTTTTTCACACACAAACAAATATGAATGCTTACTTTGGCCAGTGTTTTCGACTAAGTGGCTACTAAAAAAGACTGGACATACCCCATATTGAATACCCTGGGTTGTCTACTTTAAAAAAAATATGTACATGTGGGGTGTTATTCAGAGATTTATAACAGATAATAGTGTTACAATGTCACCATTGATAAATTTTAAAAATGTATGTTTTGAAACCGCAATATCCTACTTGTACCTATAGCCCTATAACATGCAAAAAAAAGCAAAAAAGCACGTAAACACTAGGTATTTTTAAACTCAGGATAAAATTTTGAATCTATTTAGCAGTTTTTTTCATTCGCTTTTGTAGATGAGTAAAAGATTTTTCAAGTAAAAGTCAAAAAACATGTATTTTTTTCAATTTTTCATCAGATTTTTGTATTTTTTTTTAAATTAAAATACATGAGATTATATAAATAATGGTATGTAAAGAAAGCCCCTTTTGTCCTGAAAAAAACAATATATAATTTGTATGGGAACAGTAAATGAGAAAGCGGAAAATTACAGCCAAACACAAACACCACAAAAGTGTAAAATATGCCTGGTCGCAAATGTACAACATCGCAAAAACAGTCCAGTCCTTAAGGGGTTAAAATAAATAGTTACAATAGCTAGAACCCTAACAAATATGTATACTGTTATAATAAAAACAAAATTATTAACAAATAGTCAAAAGAATAATCACACTTTAATTATCCTGCCCAATTTCAAACAAAATGTATAAAGAAAAATGTAACTGTTCGAGTTAAAGTATAGGCCTCTATATTTTAAATTCCCTATTGACAGTACTGGTTATATTTTGACACTGCATACTTTTCTTCTCTCTGAAGTGTCTTTTTTTCACAATGCTTATAGGACACAATAGGCCACTCAATAGCTTAACTTTATATTTACAAATAAACCCATTCTTTTTACTCACTACAACTCACTTAGTTCCCTCAATAAGCTCCATTTAATTTTAAAATATACTTACTTAAGCATGCTTAAATATAGTAGTGATCACCTTGACTCTTACCTAACTTGTTTTAAAGGTTCTGAAAGCAATCGTTTTTGTTCTATAAACCCTCCTATTAATTAAATCATTGACTAAATGTCCATTGAGGTCTACATACATTGATCACTATGACCAAATGTCTATGTATGAGATGATCCCACCAGCATCATTTTCACAAATAAGTTCCTGTATGTATTTCATTTAACAATATATGCTCTTAATTAAATGAAAATTACTTTAAATGTATTGACATATAATTAAATGTTACTAATTTTTTCAAGCCAGGAAGCTCTATAAATGGCATATAGTATGTATTCTTTGTTTCCTGTGACATTTAACAATCACTAACATTTCAATGTGTTCAGTATCCTTGCAGGATGCATAACAGGCAGATTCATATCCGTATCTCTTCCTTGTGCTTTCCGGGCTGTTTTCCTTTCAATCATACCCACTGTGAGTTAACGACATTCCTTAACCGTTTTTTGAACATGAAATGTCAGATAACACCATTAATGCAGGTGAATGTCTAAGAAACTAGTGTTCACAGAATACTTATCTCTTCCGTTCACTGGAAGATGAGAAATAAACCTCTTTTCAAGCAGAATATGAACTGTAGTGTTTTTCATTCTTATCGCCCGATGACTAGTTGTAGTTTTTCTGAAGGGTTCTTATGGCACATTAATTTCTGGCTCGGTTTTCTTCTTTGTGAATTCTTGACATTTGAATTGAGTGATTTTTTTTTTTTTTTATGTTTCTGCTGAAGGACACACCAAGAGCCATAACCTCTTATTGCAGTGGTGAAAGGACTAGGATGTTGTGCCTCTAATCGTACCTTTTAAATCTAGTCCATTTTTTATATTGGGCGCCTAGACTCAACCCATTCCACTAATGTCATAAATGGAAGCATCATTTTTCTATGGAGTTCTCCAACCATTGGGCAAGAGAGACTTCTACTGTTGGGAATTATACATTACTGCTCCTTGTTCGACATTACTTGTTCTACATTACAACTACTACAATAAATGATCTTCATAAGGGTGCTTGGAAAAACCCTTAATAGAAAGAATGATATGGCACCTCAGCATTAATTCACACATATCACCTGTCTACCTTTCATGTGGTTGCAAACTGGGCTTGCAAGATCAAGCACATGAAAATTAAATAGTTGGCTTTTCAACCTTTAAGTAAAGTTTCCCTATGTTTCCTACATGTAAGGACCACCATCTCCGGTACCCACATAGAATGATCGCTCCAAGCCTCCATAGTCTGGGGACCTGTTACTGAAAACTAAAACATACATTCTTTCCAAATGTTTTTTTTCCATACTGAATGACCTACATCAGTGGTGCCCAACCTTTTTTAACCAAGACCTACTTTTAAAGTTGCCAGCCCATGGAGATCTACCAGTTCACATAGGAAGCTGTGTCCATTGGCTATCAGTGCCTTTAACATGCACACAATAGACAGAAAACCCATTCAGATATCATAAAAAAGTAGTTTGTGAGTTGCAAAGCTGTGGCATTAAATGTATATCTCTACCTCAGTGGGACTTCTGACATTGGGAGGAGGCAGCTAGTTTCTCGCAGTGAGGGCAGTACGAGCTAGTTGCAAGCCTTAGGCAGGCCACAAGGTGAATGTCTGCCATTGTGGATCTGTACTTTGACTTGATGATTTTCATGTGAGAGAAAGCAGTCTCACACAAATAAGTTGATCCAAAAAGTGCAGTCACGTTCAAGGCACATCTTCTGAGGTTGGGATATTTTTGTTCCAGTAGCAGGTTCCAGAACTCTCATTTCTCGTCAGATGTTGCCCTGGATTTGATCTCAATGTCATTTGGAGTGTGAGAATCTCACGATCAACAGCAGAGCTATCCACTTCAAATAGTGCTGCTTCTTTGGAAGCCATGTAATCCACATCGATGCCCTCCCCAAACGGAAAACACAGCTGGCAACAGGCTCAATGGATGCAAAGTAAGTAAAATGCTTCTCAAATTCTGACAAGATGCTCTGAACTTGCTCCCCATAACGTGCACTGTCAAGCTGTGCAGAATCTTTGCCATGACACTGGAGTTCTGCCTGCATGTGAGGAAAGTTTTGCAGGTCACAGCGTTGCAGCCTACTTGAAAGCAATTGCAGCTTGCTCTTAAATGTATTCATTGAACTAATCATGTTGATCACATGTTTAGCTTGACCCTGGAGCTCTAAATTCAAATCATTGAGCATGTCAGTGAGATTTACAACTGAGCTCGAAATTCTATTTGTTCCTGTTACTCAGTAACAAAATATCAGTAGCAAATGTAGAACGTGTAGCAAATTTCCCTAAAATTGCTTTAGTTATTCTATGGGCAATTTTAAGACGACCACTGAGCAAAGAACAAATCGACCAGACCCATGCCATGGGAATAATATGGGAGAATAGTCATTGCATGGTATGCACTAATACAATTAAAGGACAAATAGTTGCCAGGAAAACTAACAACTAATCAGGATCTCTTGCAAGTTCAATGTTAAAGAGATTGAGTTCTAATGAGGTCAATGTCTCAGGCAGGTAATTGTACAAGATCTCTTTTTCTAAGGCAGTTGATGTTATCCAGATGCACCCTCCATCTTTCCAGTCTTGTGTTTAAGAGCTTTTCTGGAAAGCTCCCACCCTACCTGAGCAAAATGCTCTTCTCGGCTGTTCCCATCTCCTATAACCTCCGATCCAGCACCAGCACTTTATTTAGTCTACCTCAATACAAAAAGAAAGCAGCTCGATTCTCCTTCTCCTACAGAACACTGCAATTATGGAACAACCTCCCGCACACTTTCAAATCTTCCCCAGGCCTAAAGTCCTTTAAGAGAACCATCTCTACATATCTCAAAACAGAATGCACCGGTCATGGTTGATTATATATTTCCTACCTGTTCTATACTACATTTTGTATATATGTTGTGTATTAATATTGTTTTTGTATTTTATTGTACCATATTGTATGAATGCAATGTTTTGTGGACCCAGGACATAGTTGAAAACGAGAGAAATCTCAATGTATCTTTCCTCGTAAAATATTTTATAAATAAATAAATAAATGAGAACAATGTTTATGTTGTGTTTAGTTGTATGTTCTCTCTGTTAGGTAGCTGATAGCATGAATGATATCTGTGTCACTTTGGTGTTTTATATGCATTATGTATTAAAAAAATCTATGAAATATGGGAGATTTATCCAGGCACCGGGTCTGCTTTATTTCAGGTTGTAAGACTGGAAATTAGGAATGCAATAGAATAGATATAAAACAGTGCTCGCTTTGTTTAGTTAACAAACCTGGTGCTCCATAATCAAAGAGGCCACAACCAGAAAAATAACGATGACACAGTCAGTAGTAAGCTCATGGTAGAAAACAGCTTGTTTCGGCTAACAAAAGAGCCTTCCTCGAGGAATTTGCATGGGAATGTGTGGGAAAGGGATATTTTATACCCTTTATGGGGTTGTTGATTAATGTGGTCTATAAGTAGATAAATAGTTTTAACCTCCAATGGCATAAAGATTGGCTCGGGTTACAGTTAAGAGTCCAAGCACGTATAATAGCAGGGTTAAAAAAGTCTCTACACTAAGTACAACTAAGTTAACAATTAGAACAGATTGATACAAAAAAATAAAGTGAGATCTTGTATTTTAAACACAAGTAGGTAAACAGAATCAATTATATCATATGAAGAACACATGTATAACAATAGTTTTACTATCGTAGAATCATAGCAATGACCATTAGACAAAGTTTTGGAATGTGACTCAGTGGGAACAAATGAAATGTATCACATTTGTAATACTTAAAGTTTAAGCCTCAAGAATGGAACTAGTGTTTTCGTTCTTGGAGAAATACAAAATCCAAGGAACAAATTAAACATTCAGGATTCACTAGAACAAGCAAAAAGGGGGGAAAATGCGAAGAGTCCAGTAACCAAGAAAAATTCTATCAAATAAGGTCAGTCCGGAGTGGGTCTCACACAGTGAACCTCATGATAAGGTCCAGAACTATAAAGGCTGTATATTTATATGGTTGACCTTCACTCCAGCAGGCGAGCTGGGAAACCATTAGGAAATAGTCCCAACCTGGGTATTCCAATAGGTACAGAAGGAATACAATAGCGAGACATATACATAGATAGATCTTTATTGTAATTATCAATGCAGCTCTGAGACACAAGAGGGAATATAACCAAAAAGCTTAAAGGTCACTATAACCATTTTATGAATGCATGAATGGAGCGAGGTCATGTAGTCCCCAGGCACTGACCCTCAATTCAGTGTTAAACCATTTTAGAGCAGTTTAACACTAAGAAAAGGGTCCCTGGCCATCCACAGCCTAGCCCCTTCTGGAGGTGTTGCTAATGCAAAGATTACACACTTCCTTGTAGTCATACCCATTCATGTCATCATTATGAGCTCTGATAGACTAAAAGCAGTCAGTTGATGCTCTCAACCAATTACTGCTGCCCATTGCTGCTCAGGCTAATACTTCCTCATTATCCAAAGGGGGGGAGGAAGGGGTGCTGTGGGCTCTCATTAATCATTAAAGCATTAAAACATTAAAAACGGTTTAATGGTGAATGCAATTATGGCACCAAGAGATTCCAGATACTATAACCAGTTTAATAAGATGAAGCAGACACAGTGCCTACAGTGCCCCTTTAATGCCTTTCGAGTTCATAGATCTTTTTCAGATGGATATAGAAACTTTTATCACACAGCATTTATATATAACCAGTTAACCAATTAAGACTCACAATGGACACTCATCAATTCCTAAATGAGCAACTGTCATCAATACCAAGAGAATTTAAATATAACCTCCCCCTCCCCCCCCGAAAATATGAAAATAAAATAATAACCCCAATCAAATAAAAATCTCAAAGGCATACAATTAAATGCAGTTTATGTTCTAAATCAGGGCCAACCCAAAGGGTATTAAATTCTTCAAAGCATAAGTCATTAATGAAAGGCATGAAAATCTTCTGATTAGCATCCTGGTTTCAGATTTGGTCTCACATACTCCATGCTTGCCATGAAGAGGAATCAATATTCCTTTTTTCTTATAAATGACATAACTAGAATTCCATTAGCGGAAATTGATGGAGTTTCAGAGCACATTGAATATTCTTTAATGCCAATGCACAAGCTTGCTGTTCTGACACAAGTGGCTATTTTAACCCTTCTACAAGTTCTGCAAGATTCTGTTTGATTCTCTTTGGAATACATAATTTTACACTCTCGTTTTAAGTGCCAATTAACCGTGACATAAAAAGACCCTCTAATATTTATGGAAACTTGTATTGAGGAGTTTATCAAGAAAGACAGAACTGGGACACATTTCAGCCTTACATTTATCTTTAATATTGTAAACTGATGGCTTTCTGCCATTTGTAACTATGGCTACAAAGCTATATACATGACTGGTATTGATAGATTAATGTTAACAGAGACTGCAGTTGTAGAGATTGCAATATCCTTGTGACTATTGCGACATTATGTAGTGTCTGATGCAAAACATTAAAAAGATTTTGATTTAATAATATAGGATTAAGTTGTAAAAAAAATGAATTTTGACCAACTATCAGTAAATATACATTTCCAGACCCATTTGTAATAGAGATTGTTCTGGCACAATCTAAATGGATCTGACATTACTAGCACAATTTAACCCGTCACTACCAGGCACATTTTGTTTTAAATATGTCAGTGTAAGATATATATGAAACATAACGTGCCTAGCTTGCATGTAAACATAGGATCTAACTGTGAATTTATGAAATTGTAACTAGATTACTGTTCAGAGATACAGAAAATGAAAAATGTCTGAATAGCAGAGGAACCGAAACACAATAGAAAAGATATGACAACAATACATACAAATAATCACATAATCTCTGTATTAGTAAGACACATGATGATATTTTTTTAGCAATTTAGTTTCATAAACATGGATCTAGTGCGTAAAAATAATGTTTGTATGTAGTTATAATGGTTACACACAGTTAGTACAGTTACACTGACTTTGTTGTGCTATACAGATCTTTATAACGCGCTATAGCAAGTGCAAATAATCCCTGCAGTACACTAAATATTTCCAGGGTCCTATTTCTCAAGCTCTCTATGCCCACCCTGAATGCGAGAATGAAGCAATAAGGCATCTCATTCAAACCTTCCATTTTCAGTTCTTCTGCAGTTATGTAGATTGGCAGAATAGAACTCTAGAGAAAATGTAAAGTGGTGCTTTATTGGAAAGATTTTCATTTACATTTCATGCTTTATTGGGAGGGTAGGGAGTCAATTAATTATGTCTGATTGACAAACTTAATATGTATGGTGCCAGTATGACTGCAGAGTGTGACTTAACATAATAGTTTTTAAATTATTTTTGTTGTAGCGTTGTAGCCATTTATTTATTTTTCAGTTAATTTAAGTGTAACAACGTTATTTGTTGACTTCTATTGACATCCATAATTTTAATGTACAAACTACATCCATACAGAATTAAAGTAAAACAAATACCTCCGCATGGATATATTCCTATCATGCTCATAGCAGGGTATATCAACAGTGAATAATTCCAGGACAATAATAAATCCATCAGAGACGTGGTTTACAGGAGGAAGCCTACTACACAAACACAAAGGATTGCTACAGTTGCAAGACTATCCTTAGGTTGCCCTAAACTGAAATGAGTGGAGATTTGTGAAGATAAAGATGGTGGGGTGCTAAACTCAACTGCCCACGATACCCCATGGACAAAACCCATGATCCTGTGAGATCACCCACTTTTCAAAGCCATAAACCTATGAATATACATATTAGTGAAATGAAAACCACTTTAAATACATGTGACAGAAAAAAAAACATCTTAAAGTTCAATTATAAAAAAATATAGGTGAAGCAAAAACAGTAGATAATAGTTAATGAACAAAAACCGGTGGGATACTATGCCAACTACTGTGGACATATCAAAGCAACACTGCTTGTAGGTGATCAAGAATTCAATTAAAAATAAGGATGAAGATATGTATGATGACAGTACCCAGCAATGACCCCTAGTTGTGAAGTTACTGTAAGGCTGAGGGCATTGGAAAGTAAGCGATTAAGCCACCAGCATATACTGGAGTGCCTTTATGATCGGTTGCACCACTGGAAGGAGTGGCAACCAATCCAACTGAAAGGCCTTAAGGTTCTATGAAAGCATTTGTCTGGGGAAAACCTTACCCTCTTACCCTGGAACCAGTAATGCCCCCTCTGCCTACTCTTGCTGCGTGACAGTGATTCCACTGGATACCATTTTTATTCAGGTGCCTATGACTTATGGGTCCAAGTAATTACACTCTCTGTTAACAGGTTGTGATATACTAATGCAAAGCTTCCCCCCCAACAATGGCACCAAAATTCAGTTGGAAGGGAAAGAAACTCACAGTGATGTTTTGTTATACAAGAACTAGCCTTTAGCAATCTCCAAATAACTAATTGATACAAAAGCACAGAACATTACAATGTGGTGTGCCAAGGAACCAAAACAATAAATAAAAGCCATTTAGGTTGAACTTGAACGAGCAATGGTAATAATTTGCATACTGAAATAAAGCCAAACCAATATATTGCCAGATTAACCATTGGGTGATGCTGTACTAAACATATTATAGAATACATTTGTATA